ATTTTTTTTTTTTTTCGTTTTGACATATACTCTGATGAAATAATAAAATTTGTAAACACAGTTCAAAAACGCTCAAAAATGCAAAAAGTAAAAATGACGCAGCAATGAATTTTTCAGAAATTGTTGATAATTTGTTTAAATTAAAAAAAAAATAAAAACTGACTACACCATTCGATTGTACGGAAAAAATACAAAAAAAACTGTCTCACTGTTTGACCCAAAACTATTTTTGTACAGTATTGCTATAAACATAAGTCGAATAGTGAATAAATAAAATAAATAATATTTTTTTCCGTAGGATCGATTAGTGTACTTATTTTTTTTTAAAGTTTGATGAATTCATAGATATACAGTGTGTCCAAAATAAGGATGGGATACCATTAGGATCTAGCAAACGGTAAGAGATACGGGGTGTCTCAGATTAGAAAAAAGTTGTGTTTTTTTATACCTAACAATATGCTGTTTAGAAAGTTTTAAAATTCCAGAAAAACCCGAAATTGTTTAATTTTTTCTGGCTTTATTTGAAAACGAATTTTAAAATAAATTACATATTTACAATGCCACCTTTTTCGCTCTATACAATGGCGCAACATTTTTACAATCCGACGTTTCGTCTTCGAGGAGCCATCATCGGGTTAATTTTTTAAATACGTCGCTGCAATTTTTATGACAAAATCTAAAGTCATTTTTAATTCTGAATTAGAGGATATTACTATTGTAATAGGAAAAAGTGGCAATGTAAATATGAAATTTCTTTAAAATTCGTTTTCAAATAAAGCCAGCAAAAAAATATAAAACGATTTTTCAAAATTTCGGGTTTTCAGATTTCGCGTCAACAGTAGACCTTGTAGTTAATACTTTGTATTACTGAAATCTCAAATCATTCAGAGATAATTTATCATTTGTGCATTTGTAATTCGACTTAGATGTTTATAGCAATACTGTACAAATAAAGTCAAACAATGAGACACAGTTTTTTTTACTTTTTTCCGTAGAATTTAATGGTGTAATCAGTTTTTGAATGCTTTTTAATTTAAACAAATTATCAACAATAACTGAAAAATTCATTGTTGCAAGTCATTTTTTATTTTTTTGAATTTCAGAGCATGTTTTTGAACTGTTATTACAGATTTTTTTATTTCACCAAAAAGTATGTCAAAACGAAAAAAAATAATTACCGGCAGAACTCTGTACGATATTTTTAAGTAGAATTTTTCTTTGAAAAAAAGTGTTTCAGGTCGAAAAAAATGAATATCTCAGAAACATCTTGATTTTTTTATGTAAAAAAAATTGGGGTTATTTAAGACAGAGAAAGGTATGCTTTCACCAAGTTTCGTCAAAATTAAATTATTTTTACGGAAATGAAAAATAAAAAACCAAAAATCTGAAAAAAAAACTGTTTTTC